GGAAGAACTCACAGTCTGTCATGTACCATGGCTAAGCTACATGTGCAGTAGGTTAGATATAGTCAACACATTTCCAACTTACAGTATTTTCAACTGACAATGGGTTTGTTAGGACTTGACCCATCCTAAGTCAAGGAGCATCTGTACTTTTAGTTTTATTTATTGATTCTGTTATAATTTAATTATAGTTTAAGTTTATAAATTATATAATGATTATAAACCCATTACCACTATTCAGCTCAATGGAGCCTCTTTACTGTGCTGAGATGTGCTTTATAATGTTATTTATAGAATTACATCTTTTCAGAGTTACATGTGATTATTATAGTTCATTAATATCCTTGTTTTATGAATATGTGGGTCATGCCTAGGGGTTACAGAACTTCATTGGGCTCTCACAGGTATCAGGGGCAGAGGGTGGGATTTCAAGTGCAGTCCATCTTTCAGGAAGCCAGTGTCCTTTTCTTTATGCAGGGCTGTTCTCTATGAAAAGTTCTCAGAGTTCCAACTTCTACCTCGATTCTTTACCACTTTATGGTTTTGGATTGGGGGCGGTCATGTATTAGATGGAAAATGAAAGATTCTGGCAAGGGCTATGAGGACATTATTCATACAGCATGTCTGGACTTAATGCGTTGTTGCTGTTCTGGTCAGTGGTGCCCACTGCTGTGGGCAGAGTGGATGTGACCAGTGCTGCTTCTGACCTGACTTAGGCTGGAGCTACCCAGCCTCCAGGTGAGCAAAGTCAGATCTGGACTAGAGCCTCACTGCAAAGAAGGCTAACGCCATAGCAGCTCTGGCCTGTATCCTAGTCCTTTGGCTATATTACACTTTTGTGAGACAGTCTTCCTATAGCCCCAGCTGGCCTGGAACTCACTGTGTAGGCTAGGCTAGCCTTGAACTCACAGAGATTGATCCGTCTGCCTCTGCCTCCCAAGTGCTGGGATTAAAGGCGTGTGCCACCATGCCTGGCTACATTTTTGTTTTCTTAACAGCTCAGGCTGTTCTCTCCAGAATGGAAAGTATTTTCAAACTTTAATCCAGCTCTGTGATATTTCACATCAACCCACCTCACTGCCACTGTAGCCATGCCCTCATTCCCAGAGCCTAGAAGCTGTTACTTTTGTGACAGATTCCTTCTTGTCACACATAAGACCACAGGAGTGGTTACACTGCTATGAGCTCAGACTTTAAGGTTTTAATCTTAGTCTCTCTTCCTAGGTATGAGCTGTCAGAGAGCAAAAATTCAGCAAATTAAAGTTTTTGTTTTCTGTTTCTTGAGACAAGGGCTTATTACATAACTGAGGCTGGCCTCAAACTTGTTAAGTATCTGAGGATGTTCTTGAACTCCTGATATGCTTGTCTTCACCTCTTAAGTACCAGCATGTACCACTGATTTGAATTTTAAAAGTCCAATTTAATTTGCTTTTATTAGCCATTCATGAACCAGACAACACATCTAGTATATAACACAGAAAAGAGTTCCAATGAGCTGAGGGGAGAGGGTGGGTATATAAGCAAAAAAAGTCTAAACAAAGCAAAAATGCATAATGAAAAGTGAATTGACCATTTCTAACGTAAGGAATTTTGTTGGCTTAATAGGATTTGGCTGTCATCTTTCTCTTGATTTCTCGGGAGGTCTTGTACTTAAAGAAACCATACAGGTTTTAGTTTGATGACATGAAACTTTAGAATAAATGATTCCCTTTTGGTCTGTTGGGCTGTGATAAATAATCTTGATTGCCAACTTGATTAGATTAAGAAACTAAGTTACTAGCCTAGGAAGGTTAGTAAAGCATGCCTCTGGGCATAGCTGTGATGGTGCTTCCAGAGATGATTAGATGATGAGGGCTCTGGCCTAATGAATGGATCAATCCATTGATAGATTTCAAAATCTGAACAGGCTACTGGGGAGGTCTGGAACTATGGAAGGTGGGACCTGGCTCGACACAGCAGATCAAGGCAGGCATTTCCTGGCCCCTTCCTGTTACTGCTCACTCTGCTTCCTGTCCACCATGAGGTGAGTAGCCTCTACCACAAGCTCCTGCTGCCTCATCACAGGCCCAGAATCAGCAGAAACATGGAGTGAAACCACAGAAAATTTGAGCAAAGTAAGTGCTTCTTCCCTTCAGTTATTCATGTCAGGTGTTTTGTCACAGTGACACGAAAAGTCACTAACACAGGAGCTCAGTCCCAATCAATGGCCTCCTATAAATGTTATCAGCAGAATTCTGGGATTTGGAGCAAGTTACTTCACTTCTTTTTGTGTTTGGGAATAGAAATCTTAGTAGCTACCTCTGCATTTACAGTGAGGAATGAATAGGTAAGGGATAGAAAGGAGGTGTATATCAGCAGTGCCTGTCACTGAGGCTCATCTGTTTTAGCTATTGCTAGACTTCAGCTATTGGAAATAGCAGTTTCTCTTATTGTTACCCATGAGGTCTCTATCATGTTGTGTCCCCATCTACAAGGTCCTTCAGCCATCCTGTGTGAAGACCCTCAGGCTTGATCTTACCTAGTTTCATGCTCTTCAACTGCTTTTATTTCTGCCATTGGGCTTTCTCATAGGTCTCGGGCTGCTCAGGTCTTTTCAGTGCCTACAGTACCCAGGATGGCAAAAACAAACCAAACATGGTCTCTTAGTTACTCTTCCCATTGCTGTAATAAAATACTCTGACCAAGGAAAAAGGGTTTATGTCAGCTCCCTGTTCTAGGTTACAGTCCATTATGGTGGGGAATCACAGCAGCAGGAACTTGAGGTAGCTGGTCATATTATATCCAGTCAAGAAGCAGAGTCATGAATGAATGTGTTCAGCTCATGGTCTCCTTCTTATATGATCTTTTTATATACTCCAGGATCCCAGTGTGCGGCATGATGCCACACACCAGAGAGAGGTGGGGGGTCTTCCCACCTCAATTAACCTAATCAAGATAATGGCCCATAGGCATGCCTGGAAGCTAACCTAATCACTCACAGGTGGGCCTGGAAGCTGGTCTCCTAGGTGAAGTCCAGATCCTGTCAAGATGACAACGTTAACTCATGGGATTTTCGATTTTAGATTTTCCTAGAACTCAGTTCTATCATATTTTGGGCAAAGCCCAGTCTGGACACTTGTCTTATTGCAGGGGAATAATGACTTCTGTGCAGAATGAAAGATGTGGGTCCAGTGTGATTGAAAAATAGACAAACTGAAAACAGATTCAATGTAATCCAAATAAAAGTCCCCAGAAATGTTTTTAGTTGGCAAGCCCATTCTAAATGCATATGGAAAGCCAAGGGTTCAGAATAACAGGACAATGTCTGAACTGGTTCAAAATAACAGGACAATGTCTGAACTGTTTTTTTTTAATACTTTCATTGATTCAAGAATTTCATGCAATGTATTTTTATTATATTCAGACCCCCTCCCTCTCTTCACCCTTACCTACTACCCCCACATACTTCATGCCTTCTATTATTATTTGTCCCTTTTTAAGGCCTATCAAATCTAATCTGTGTTTTCTAAATGCTCTTGGGTGTGGGTCTATCTTTTGGAGTCTGGTCAACCTACCAGGCATCACAGCAGTAAGGAAAACGGACTCTCCCTCTCCTTAGCATCTATCAATTGGCTATAGATCCTCAGCTAGGGCTGGAGCTTCCTGCCCACCTCCCTGATCCATGATCAGCCCCTGTCTGGTTTGGGTTTGCACAGGTCTTGTACATGCTGTTATGAGTGCTGTGGGTTCATATGTTCAACTACCCTGTGGTGTCTGAACTGTTTGTTTGTTTTTAAAAAGCTGCACCTCATTTACCAACACCTGTTAAAAACGGTAGCACATAAAGCAACATGACATTACTGAAGGGACAGACATGTAAACCAGTAAGATAAAGACTTCAGAACAGACTTGCACAATAAGGAACACACAGATCCCTATTAGAAACATACCATTGAATGAACTAGATTTCTCCAACAAAGCATTTGTTTAAATCAGTTTAACAGAAAACATTACTAAGTTGGAAAAAATTACTCAATTTGCAACAAATATGCCACTGGCAAAAAGTGAAGCCTTTTTAATAAAAAGTGTTTAGTAAATGGCATATCTTTATGGAAAAATAAAAACCCTACACCTTACCTCACACCGTATGCAAAGAAGACCCAGTAGTATTTTAAAAATCTAAATATGAGAGAGAACAGAAACAAAGCTTATTAAAAAATAAAATAGGGAAGTATCTTCATAATTCCTTTTTTGTCATTTTTATTTTATGTGTATGAGTGTTATGCTTGCATGTAGGGAAGTGCACCCGTGTCATGCAATGCCCACGGAGAACAGAAGATGCTGTCAGATCCCCTGGAACTGGAGTTATGGGCAGTTGTTAGTTGCCATGTGGGTGCTGGGAGTTGAACCCTGGTCTTCTGCAAGAACAGTCAGTGTTCTTAACCACTTAGCTGTCTCTCCAGCCCCTTCATGATTCTTATGTAAACAAAGATTTATTGACCAAGGCATTAAAAACAGTCATCCCGAGGCTGGAGAGATGGCTCAGCAGTTAAGAGCAGGCACTGCTCTTCCAGAGGACCTGACTTAGTTTCCCAGAACCCACACTGGATGGCTTACATCACTTGTAACTCCAACTCCAGGGAGTACAATGCGTCTGGACTCCCTGGATACCCACACTCATGTGCACATGGAGAGAGAGAGAGAGAGAGAGAGAGAGAGAGAGAGAGAGATACACACAAAATTTAAAATAAATAAACTTTAAAAATCATCCCTAAGGAAGAATACTGATGAACTGGTGATGATGCATGTCTATAATCCTAGCACTCAGGAGGCTAAGGTAGGAGCGTTGTGAATTCCAGGCAGTGAGACTCTCTCAAACAGAAGAGAAGGGGAGCAGGAGAAGCCAGAAGAGAAGAAATTGTTTTATAAATTGGAAAAGTAAATTTTTTCTGTACATTATGAAAAAGTAAGTTCTCAATGGGAAAATTGCTGTAAATTACTGATTCCAAAACATAGCTCTCACCTCAAAGAGAAAAAGAGAGTTTATTCTAGAACCATATATGAGTGGCCTAGGAACACAGATTTAGGTTATCACAAATACTGTGTTCCAATGCGATATGATTTCATGAAATGTTCAGAGTGATAGAACAAATAAAGTCGTTAATAAAGGCATCTTTAAAACACAGTGGTGGAAACACCAGGCAGGGGGACACAGCAAAGCAGAGGGAGGCCTCCGCTTTAAGCCTCAGATGTCATTTGGTGTGAGTCACAAGAATGTTAGGTCAGACACAGAAGTGGGCAATGAACACTATCAAGAGAGATGAAGATATCCCAGGGTAACTTGACTCAGGATCTATAACATTCCAGCTCTCCAGAACCACAGATGTTCTAATCAACCAGTCAATCAGCCTTCTGGAATCTTCAACACAGGTATGACTTTTTTTCTGGGAACTTCAGTTCATATATGATGTAACTGGGTTTTTTTGTTTTGTTTTGTTTTGTTTTAAGTCTTGTATCTAGAAAAAAAAAAGAAGTGTCATAAATCAATAAAACCAAACAAAAAAGGGGGGCAAAAACTTAGTCACTCCGAGAATAAGATGCCTGAATTACCAGAGATGTTTGTCATCATTTATTATCCAGAGAGGTCAATTGGTACAGCTGCTTTGGTAACTGGATACAGGTTCTTTAAAAAGTGAGGTATCAACCAAATCTGGAAGGAAAAACAACTCACCTCTTAACTCATCAACATTCCATTCCTTCATCTTCACCCGCAGAAATTCACTCAGACATACCGTGAATTTCAAGAACTTTAATGTTCATGACAACATTATTTGTACAGAAACCAAGAAAGAACGGTGTGAGAGTAACCATTATGTCAGGATCGTAACACAGAGAAAAGACAAAGGGAATTCCAAGAACTTCAGAAAAGAGAAAAATAAATCCCAGGATTCCCCTGCACAGAAAGCTCCCCAGGGCAGGCAGCAGAGGTAGTGTGAGGAGTATGGAATTGATGGATTACTTTATGTGACTCTCATAGAGGAAAATCAAATGGTGGGGCTATAAGGTGTGTGCAAAGAATCAGCAAATCCCACAAAAACAAGTAAATAAAGACATGGGTTGGTGGTATTTTCAAGACAATAACCAAAAAGAAGGAAGTGGTCACAGTATGCTTACCTTCAGCAGTGAAGGTTATCCACATCTGTGTGTTAGGTTCTGATATCCTCTCCACTAAACGGAATCATTATATTGAGAGGATGAGGGAAGAGATTCAGAAATGGAGACATTGTGAGAAAATCAAATCTTTATTTAGCATGATAGGAAGCCAACAGAGGATGTCTATAGTTTGGAAATGATTCCATGTATAGATGCCAGAAGAGACAATGAATTAGAAACCCTTGTCCATAGACTGGTATCTGGACAGAATGGGGAATGTACATACAGAACCACTGCATTTTATGTAAGTTCTTTAGAACTGTTTGAGCCTTTAAAAGTCTATGCTGAGAGCTGGAGATGACTTGGGTGTTAAAAAGCACCAACTGTTCTTGCAAAAGGATACAAGTTTGGTTCTCAGCACCCACATGGTGGCTGACAAGTGTCCATTAACTTCAATTCCAGAGTTTCCAATGGCCTCTTCTGGCTTCTGTGGGCATCGCACACACATGCATGCATGCAGGCAAAACACTCATACACATAAAAAAAAGAAATACTAAATTTTTAATGTTCATATTACTTTGATAAAATAAGTAAGCTTAAAAAGAGATGAAAAAAAAGTCAACATGAAGCAAAATATTTAAAGCTTATGTCTGTAAGTAATGTGATTTATAGGTTATTATTTTTTTTCCCTTGGCTCTTCTGCTTTTTCAACAATGAAATTTTACTGGTAAATAAATGCAATGCATTCGAAGGCAGAATATTTGATAGGTCTGGGAACTCTTGAAGGTATCATCACAAATTTCTCAGTCATGGAATTGATGCTTGGAAGCTCTGGGGCACGGGGGGGGGGGGCTGGCAGACCTGCACTGCTAGGCCAAGAAAGGAACTGAGAAGCAATCTAAGCAGTGCCCACCAGGGCTCATCAGGTTCAGTTCCAGCTCCAGAGGCTGTCACTGTGCAACTCTGATGGCAGGATGTGGACCCAAGGGATAGATGCCCTTGGTGAAAGCCGGGCAGAGATGGAGCATCCAGGAATCCTTGGCATGTTGCACCATTTCAGGAGACCCATCCATCCAAGTGGCCCTACTTCCCAGGCTGAAAATGTTCTAGCGAATCTGGTTCCAGTGTGAGTCATCCAGTCTGAGGGCAAGAGAGGCTTCAATCATAGAGGGGAAGCTAGAGGACTGGGCAAGCAACATTCTGCACTTAAGGAGTTCAGAAAAGGCCACTGCTGGTTGCTGAGGACTCTTCCCCCAGCTCCAAGTTGTGGACTTCCTGGCAATTGAGAGAGATTAAGATAAGGAGCAGATACAACTCAGAATTGTAACTGAACCCCTGGAAACTGGGCCCAGAGGAGTAAGTTCATTTACAGTTAGTTTCCTAACTAACTGTGGCTCCCATGACAACATGCAATGGCCCCACCCTTATCTGTTATCCATTCCAAGCTTCCACTCCGTTCATGAAACGAGGGCTAGTGCCAGACACCATATGTACTGTTTTCCTATACATCCATACCTATGATAAAATTTAATTTATAAATTGCACACTGTAAGAAATTAACAACTTAACAACCTTAACAACTTTTTTCTTTCCTTATTAAGTGGAAAATGTTCAAGCTATCTCTTTCAATTTTTTAATTTATTTTTATTTTATGTGTATGAATGTTATGCCTGTATGTGTGTAACTGCACCCATGTCATGCAGTGCCCATGGGGAACAGAAGAGGGCACTGGATCCCCTGGAACTGGAGTTACAGATAGTTGTTAACCAGGATGTGGGTGCTGGGTTTTGAACCCAGATCTTCTGCAAGAACAACCAATGCTCTTGACTGCTGAGCCATTCCTCCAGCCCCCATCAAGTTATATGTTAAAGGAAACATTTTTAAAGATATTTCATTTATTATTTTTATTTTATGTGTATATGTGTATTGACTGTGTATAGGTAAGTGCACCCATGTCATACAATGCCCACGGAGGACAGAAGAGACTGTCAGATCCCCTGGAGTTGGAGTTACAGACAGTTGTTAGCTGCCATGTGGGTGCTAAGATTTGAACCCGGGTCTTCTGCAAGAAGAACCAGTGTTCTTAACTGCTGAGCCATCTCTCCAGCCCATAAAGGAAATATTTTGTGATTACTCCTTTGCACATCCTAATCGCCAGCACCACTCCTCTCATCTTCTGAGGCTGTTACTAAGTAAAATATGCATCACTTGAACTCAGGCACTGCAGGACACAGCTGATCTGATATCTGCAATGGCTGCTAAGTGACTGATGGGTGGGTGGTGTACACAACATGGATACAGTGGATAAAGGGCTCAACATGCTTCTCAGAATGGCACACAAATTAAAACTTGTGAATAGTTTCCATTTCATGTTTTCAGACTATGGTTGACTGTTGGCAACTGACTGAAACTTTGGAAAATTATTATCTTATAATTCTGTTGCTGGAAGTCTAAGAACCAGGTGTGGGGAGAGCTACGCTGCTCCCTCTGAGCTACAGAAGGAACTGATGCTGGCCTTTCTCCTAGTGGTTTTGAGAACATATTTCATGCCTTCACACAGTATTCTCCTAGGTGTCTGTCTGCCACATTTCCTCTCCTCACAAGAACATCAGTCATACTAGGGAAGAACTCATCCCACTCCAATACAATTCCATTTTAACTGAATTAATTGCATTCACATTGATTCTTTTCCTTATGTATATGAGTGTTTTGCCTATACGGATATGTATATTATATATGTGCAATACCCACAGAGGGTATAAGAGGGCATCAGATCATTTGGAACTGGAGTTAGGATGGTTGTGAGCTGCCATGTAAGTGTTGGGAACCAAACTTAGGTCCTCTGCAAGAACAGCAAGTGCTCTTAAAGTTGAGTCATCTCTCTAGCCCCGACATTGATTCTATTTCCAAATAAACTGAAATTCTATAGTCCTGAGCATTAAGACTTAATGTATGGTAAGTGTCTGGATTCAGCCTCACCAGAAGATGGGCACACCAGTAGTTCCAATTTGAAGATGCCGAGGAAAACATAGGCAGGATTAAAGAGCAAAGAACCATCACTCTCATGGGTAGATGAGGATGGAGGAAGGAATGAAGTCACTCATTTCATTTCAGATGTGATACAGGAGTATAGCACAGTGGGATGGCACCAAGGGTCAGCAGTACCTTGCCATGGTCATCACCTAAATCACAGCCAAACAGCACTGTGCTCTTACATAAATGTGCTGTTTTACATGACTCAACACAATTGATCATCAACTTAGACCAAATAGGTAGGCATGACTATTATCCCCAACTTTCTGAGCTAAGACTCAGAAAGATTAGGCAGTTTTGTCTAAGCTCCAATGAGGGATGGATTCCACTATAGATCTGATGAACTCTAATTCCTGTGCTCAATTTAACCCCTCTGCTACTACCTACCCACACTGAGGGGCAGGGCTGCCTGGACCACCAGTGGGGAAAGATGATGAGACTGAATGGGGACCACATTGGGATTTATTGTGGATGTCAGCTGTGAAAGGAGAGTGGGGATCTGAGTGCTGTGTGTATGTCACCCTGTGGAAGGAGCACAAAACAGGAACTGCAGAGAGCAGGGCTCTAGAGTCGGCTCTGCTCAGTCTGTGACACAAACGACTCACCATTCTGGGCACCAGTAGCTACACCCATAAAACAACCAAAGATCAGTGATTTAAGATTTCCTTCTCACCTGAAAGTTTTTTTATTTCAATAAAGAAAACAAGAGTTGCCCCTCTTTCCTGAAGAACAATTTATAAGTATATAAATTACATTTATGTGCATATTTGCATTCAAAATCTGAATGTTTCTATCCGAACAGAATTACTTAAAGAGGTTTACAAGATCCCTTTGCCAAAAGATGCTTGGCTGTGTCAGAGAAATCCCTGTGTAGCTGGCAGCACTTAGAATACGTGAGGTTGAGTGTTCCTGGACAGGAGCTCCAGGAGCTGCCTCGGTGCCCCACCACCCTTAGAATTAGCTCCATGCCGTTTACTGTTCAGTTGGAAGAGGACAAGCCTGGGTGGGAAGCCATGGCTGTCATCTGAACCACTCCATTTTGTTCCTAAATTTCCCAGGATGCTAGAAGGATTCATGGCTCTCTGTGAAGTATTTTATAATCTTCAAAGAAAAGATAGCAGATAAATGTAAAATCATTGGCAGCCTGAAACAACTTTGTCGCTCTGTCCCCGTGAGACCTGCCAATAAATATTCTCTTTATACACATCATCGAGTTGTGAAAGAATTTCAACAAAGAATAGCAAGACTCCCCCTTCCACCATCCCCCGAGTTCACCAACATTCTCAGAGTGGAAGTGTTTTTAGATCTGAAATGCTCAGATCTGAGGACT